TAGTTATATTAAAAAAAATAAGTTTAATTTTATTTTTCACTTAACATTATATTATTTTATAAATTTACAATTCATTGAAGTACATGTTGAATATCGTCTTCGTCTTTGTACAGTCTTAAAATATCTTGTTTTAAAATCAAAATTTCCCTTAACAGTTTATTGTTATTGTTTTGCAATTGTTGTATAGTCTCTTTATAAACTTCTTCATTCTTTTTGTATCTATAAATTGTTTCTGAAAGAGTCTCGTCCCTTGACACGTAATGCCCTTAAAAATTAAAATTTTGTAAATGTTTTGTATTAAATTTTTTTAACTATATTACACATACCAAAATTTCGTTCTTTTTGATCCACGAAGTTTTGCGTTTCATTTAGTAACTTTTTAAATTTATGTTCGTGAAGATTTTCGTTTGTTCTGATTCTATTTTGTAAAGCATTGTTGTGCTCTTCCAATTGTTTAATTTGTTTTAAATTTTGTTCGTTTTCATACTGAAATTTCGCGATCTTTTTCATATGATCTTTCAAACTGTTTTCTTTTTCTTTTACTTTATTCTCAAGTGATGCAATTTTAGTCTACAAAAAGTCGAATTAATTAACAGTCTATTGTGATGGGATAATTGAAAATAACTTACCAAAAAGGAATTTTTTTCTTTTTTAACAGCATTGTAATCTAATTCTAATTCTGCAATTTTTGATAGAGACTTTCTATAAAAGTTTACCAAAATCATAGTAGAATCTAGCACATTTAACAGTTTATCAGAAAATTCTTGGTTCATACATTTTGTTATGCCAAATGTCTCAAATTCCTACGAAAATATTGAAGGTAAATTTTGAAAAATAAAAATTGTTGTCTACATATTAGTTTACCTCTTGTAATTTGTCAACTTTTTTTCTTAAATTAGCACTGCACATATCGAAACTGAAAATTAAACAATTTTTGATTTTACTTTACAAGTTTTATTATTACATTTTAAAAGTTACAGAAACACAAGTTTAGGAGAGGTTAGACTGTTATAAAAATGAAACCGTTTATCAATTGTTTTTAACTTTGAAACCTTCCAGATTATTTAGCCAACGATTTTGGCATGTTAGCTTGTTATTTAATTATTATTAATAATAATAAGAAAAATTTATTAAAAAATAAATTAAAAAAAGAAATAGGCTTAATTGATGATAAAATTTTAAATTATACTAACTTAAATAACACTAATAATTATTGTTAAATTTGAATTTTTCAAAAATTTTAAGAAAAATTTAAAACTTTCTGAAATAAAAATGGCGTCAAATCATATCACATGATTATTTGTGATAAGAACCACTTCCGTGATCCGTATGATTTTGTGACTGAGGTGTGTGAGGTTATACGTTGTGATGTATTAGTTTTTGTAAATGTCAATATAAAATCATTAAAAATTGAGTCAACATATCTGAAACAGAATTTCGAGAAAAAAAATAAATACTTAACATAATGTGAGTGTGACTTATATGAGAAAATGGGACGTCCAGTGTCAAAACCAATTAATTAGTTAAAAAATGGACAATTTAGAAACTTGTTCCAATAATTCCGACCTAGACAGTTCAAGCTGCTCGAGCTTATCAGCAGTATCAGGATTTGAAGACGAGCTATTAGAGATTAGATCCCTTATTGCAGCCTCCCCAAGATTAAAGCCCAAATCTCCAAATACATCAACACAGGCTGATAATAATTACGCAGATTTTTATCAATATGAAAACAAAATACGAAATCTAACAGCCGAATTAGAAAACACAAACAAATTAAATGACAAACTTAAAAAAGAAATATTAGAATTGCACCGCAGATATGAATTGGATAATCACAATAAATTCGAAAAATTACTATCAGCAAACAAGGAACTGCAACTCCAATTGAACTTGGCCAATGGCCACATCAAAAACTTAGAAAAAAGCGACAAAAAAAACAGCGAAAGTGAAAGCGTTACATCTTTAGAAAAGTCCAAGTACGAGTTAAGTTTACAGGTCAATGGGCTTCAAAAAGAACTGAAACATTGGAAGAATTTGGCAATAGAATTCGAAGAAGATAACAGAAAGCTTAAGGTTCATGTAGAAGAAGACAAATGTACGTTAGAAACGAAATCGAATGCTGTAGACGCACTCAAAAAAGTAATATCAGAACTGCATCTTCAACTGCAAAATTTAATCCAAAGTAACATTAAAACAAACAACGATCTGGCCATTAAAGAGAACGAAATCGAAGCATTAAATAACTCGAAGAAATGGTACAAAAATCAATTACATCTATGTCGGGAAGAGAAAAACAAATTGTTCGAAGAAAAAGTAAAATTAAACTCGGAAATTGTCTTAATAAGCAACGATCTCAATAGCACCAAGGACGACTTTAATAATTACAAAAATAAGACTCATGAATTGATATTAACAGCAAGCAAAGAGAAAACTAAACTTGAGAACAAATTACAGAGATTTTCAAACCAAAATGACCAGAAGACAATTATTGGCGACTGCTTGGAGCAAAATTTTGAAAGTACATTGCATCATTACCAAGACATCATAAAAGATTTGAAGTTGGAGGTCGAGTCCGTAAAAGAAGAAATTTCAGCTCAACAACTGCATTTTGAATCTGTCAAGAAACAGAACTCGGATTTGATATCACTCAACACAGTAATTCAAAAAAAGCTAAGCGAAAAGCAATACGAAAACGAGAACATGCAATTGGAAATAAAAAATCTAGAAACGAACAGAGATTCGTTAAAAAAACAACTAAACAAGAAAGAACAGTTGCTGATCGAGTTAACAACTGAAAACGCACAATTGCAAACAACATTGAAAACATTGTCAGACGAAAAACAAGAAGTCGAAACAGTCGTGGCGTTTATTCGCGAAAATTTCGACAAACTTTTAACGAAATTCAACTATCTCAAATCAGAACTACGCGAAAAGGAACAAACAATTTCGAAAATGCAATCAGAAAACCACAAAATGTTTATGAACAATAACTGGCACGTATTCGAGTTAGAAAAGCTCCAAGTTGATAACAGAAAAATTAATAACTTGGAAGAAACAATCGACAAAGTAAAACTGAAGGAAGAAATTTTAATGCAGGAAAACAACAGACTTACAAAACAAGTGGCAGAGTTACAAAAGCGAATAGAAAAAGTGAATACAGAAAAAGTGAATTTATTGAGCAAGTTGTCGTCGATTGAAGAGGCAAATAAAAGATTAACCGACGAATGCAAAAAAGAACAAAACATGTACCTAGCGAAAACGAATCTGTTGAACAGCGAAATAGAAAATCTCAATAACGAGGTTGGAAATTTAGAAACGCTAATCGCTAATTTTAAATCAGAAAGAGACGAATTAGAAAAAGAAAAAGAAACATTATTCAAAGCAACGGTAGAGTTACGAAAAACAGTAGAGAGAATGGCTGCAGAAAGAGAATTTTTCGAAAACAACAACGAAATTTCGTTGAAAGACAAAAACTACGATCCAAAAGGTATAACAAAAGTTGAATTATTCAAAAAAGTTGCAGAAGGAAATCCGTCAATAACAAAAAATGACAATTTTAACACTCTTATGTTAAAACTAACAATTCTAATTAAATACGTCATGAGCAACAATAATTCGTGGGAACCGCAAGATTTTATAGCCAAAGACTTGCTACAGTCAAACGAACTGCTTAGAGGTTTGTTGGAATCAATTTCTGCGATTCAGAAGTTAAAGTCGAATCTGCTCGCGAAAAATATTCGATATGAAAAATTTATAATGTTAATAATTGAAAAATTACAATCGGGCAGTCAGGAAGCCGACGAGAAATACAAAATTTTACTCGAAAGACAAAGCAGTCTGGAGTCCAAGTTACTATCAATGACCAATCTTTGTAAAGAACTAACCCAAAATGTGAAAATTAAAAGTCTCGATGACAATGATTGCAATAAATCAGTAACAAAAGAAAAGGATGTACAAACAATTGAAAAATTGAATATATTGTTACAGGCGAAACAATTAGAATTGAAGGAGAAACAAAAGAAGTAAGTATTTAAATCTGTTTTTCTTAAAGTGAGTAACAACGCCCCCTTCACGCAGTCACAATCGCTTGTGGTGTCTTACTTTTTTGTTTTATCGTGAAACTTTTCAGTAGGTATCGCTTCTTCTAATATTATTATTGCTAAACATACAGCTAATAACCCTGGCAATCTCATATCACAATGGGACATCGATTGAGCCCATTTCGGGCCTTCGCGCAGCCACAATCGCTTACAGCGTCTTACCTTCTCTGCTTCGCCGTCAAACCATTTGACTTTTGTTTTGACGGCATCGCTTCTACGTATATTACTGTTGTTGAACAGCATTTCGGGCCTTCGCGCAGCCACAATCGTTAAGGCGTCTTACCCTTATTGCTTTACCGTCAAACTATTTAATTTTTATTTCGACGGCATCGCTTCAACGTATATTATTTTATCAATATGAAAACAAAATACGAAATCTAACAGCCGAATTAGAAAACACAAACAAATTAAATGACAAACTTAAAAAAGAAATATTAGAATTTGCTTCACCGTCAAACTATTTAATATTTGTTTCGACGGCATTGCTTCTACGTATATTACTGTTGTTGAACAGCATTTCGGGCCTTCGCGCAGCCACAATCGTTAAGGCGTCTTACCATTATTGCTTTACCGTCAAACTATTTAATTTTTATTTCGACGGCATCGCTTCAACGTATATTACTATCGTTAAACAAACTGCTAACAATCTCAGATCGTAATCGGCCATCGATTGAATCTTTTTTAAGCCTTCGCGTAGCTGAAATCGCTTACAGCGTCTTAGCTTCTCTGCTTCACCGTCAAACTATTTAATATTTGTTTCGACGGCATTGCTTCTACGTATATTACTGTCGTTAAACCACTTTTTGGGCCTTTGCGCAGCCACAATCGCTTATGCCATCTCACCCTTTCTACTTTACAATCAAACTATTTAATTTTTATTTCAGCGGCATCCCTTCTACGTATATTCCTGTTGCTAAACAAACCGCTAATAACCCTAACAATTTCAGATTATGATCGGCCATCGATTGAGCCCTTTTCGAACCTTCGCGCAGCCACAATCGCTCACAGCGTTTTACCTTTTCTGCTTCACCGTCAAACCATTTAACTTTTGTTTCGACGGCATCGCTTCCACGTATATTCCTGTTGCTAAACAAACCGCTAATAACCCTAACAAGCTCAAATCACGATGGGTCTTCGATTGAGCCCATTTCGGGCCTTCGCGCAGCCACAATCGCTTACGGCGTCTTACCCTTTCTACTTTACTATCAAACTATTTAATTTTTATTTCGTGATCGGTCATCGATTAAGCCCTTTTCGAGCCTTCGCGCAGCGACAATCGCTCGCAGCATTTTACCCTCTCTGCTTCACCTTCAACCATTTTATTTCTAAGACATCGCTTTTTCGTATATTACTATTGTTAACAAAACGCTAATAACCCTTTCAATCTCAGATCACTATGGATCATCGATTGAGCTCATTTTTAGCCTTGGCGCAGCCGCAATCGCATTAAATTTGTTCTTTATGTCGTAGATACGAATCAAACTACAGGACGTTAATTAGGAAGTTAAAGGAGCACATGAGAGGCCGCAGAAACTCAGAAAAACATTGCACCTATCTGGAAGAGCTTTACAACAACGTTTTCGACGAACTGAACACCTTCAAATTGAAGTACAGTACCAGCGAGCAGGAACTGCAAAGTATAAAGTACGACTGCGAAAACCATAAGGCAACAAACGAAAAACTGAAAGCGAAACTGATAGAAATGCAAACACGACAGGTCAACGGTTGCGAGAAATGTACAGAACTGAAGAAAATGCTCGAAGAAAAGCAAAGTTCCTTGCAACTTATCAGCAAAATCGTTCAAGAAAAGGAGAACCAATTGGGCATGTACAAAACTCTAGAGTTAGAAGTAAGTAACCTAGTAATTAACTAAAAATTATAATAAAATATATAAAACAATAATCATTTATAGTATGAGAAACTATCACAGTGGAAAGAGAAATTAGAAAACCAATTAAAAGACGATAAGAGAAACAACGAAAAATTGACGATCGAATTATCAGACAGAAACAGATTGGTCGCGTTCCTCGAGGAGTCGCTAGCGTCCCTCAGGAACTTGTTCACCGAAGTGACCGAGAAGCTGGTCAAAGAACAAGAAGATCACATACAGACACGCAAAGAAAGAGACGGTGTCATAGAAGAGCTCAATTGCCAAAGAGAAGAGAACGAAATTATCACTGATAAAATAAACGTAAGAACAAAAACATGCACGTCTTTATATTCTTCGTAAAATTTTATGAAATATTCGTCTTTACAGTTTTTTGATCCGACATTCCGTTGTCGAGTGATTAACAGTTGAAAACGGACCAATCACAGTGCGCTTTCTTGGCTGCAAGCAGAAGTACAAACAGATGAAACATGCAGCGTGCAGCTTGCAACAAACAAAGCGCGCTCCCATTGGCCAATTTTCGATTGTCTATAACTCGACAACTAAACAAGGGATCGAAACAGCGTAAAGGAAAAATGTTCTTAAAATTCCACAACGAATCTAATGACGTAATTTGTTTGCAACATTTTTATATTATTTAGGTCAAAAAAAGGTATACGTTATGACTTCCTTTCTTGCAGAATTTGAGTTGTAAACTTAATCAAACCGAAGGCGAATTAAGTAATTTACGAACTCAAAGGCAAAATGACGAGTGCAACTGGAACAAGAAAGAGTCGGAAATGCAAAATTTGATAAACCTGTTGAGGAATGAGGGTATATTTTTGAAAAACGATCTTCAAGTGATCAAAAATGAGAACTCGTTGAATAAAAAATTCTGCTCGGAACTAAAAATGGCTTTGGATGCTACTGTACGACAAAACAAGGTAAATAAGTACTCAATTGTTTTGTTTCTCAAAATATTCTCAATCTTTTGTTGGCTCCATTCTTTTGTTTTTTTAAATATTTTCAACTGTTGTAATTATAACGTAAATTGTGTTGTAGATGTTAAAAGAGCAAATGTCGAAGCATTTCCGACAAAATAGTGGCAAAACTAGTCTTTCCGATTTATTATCAAATTTCCCTTCGCCAAACAAATGGAACGAAACGTATATTAACGAATTATTGAAAAGGAACAATTCGCCGTTGCCAAACCCCTTTCCTGAACTTAACAGTTCGTTGGCTTCCCTAAAGGAAGAAGTGATAGGACTCAGAAAACAAATTTTCGAAAAGAATGGTTTCCAAAAACACTAGCTAATTATTAGGAATGTAGGTACTTATTATTTATTTATTGTATTTGTGCCAAGTATTATTTAGTACCAACAATAATCTAATTTTTGTATTGAATAATACATAAATGTTATTGCCTTNACTTAAGTTTTATAGAAATATTTATATTTCTATTATACATGGGACATACAAGATGTCATGTCAAATACGAATGTAAAATATTATAAACTAATTCTAGAGACTCACCAATCCCGTTGGTTCAAGGTCGTCCTGAAAAAAAAAAGAAACAATATAAATCTACCCAGTAAGTTTGCTTAAAAAAACTGACTGAAACGAGGTCACCCAGATGACTAAAGTTCATACATTTAATGCTAATATAGAAAAATGTCTTTTTGTAACTGTACACAACATGGTACGAATCAAATATTCTACCACATCTGGTACAACCTACATCATCATCGGTTATCAATTATTAAATCCACTTCAAATCTTCTCCCAGCTGCAACTGCTTATGGCGTCTTACCTGATGGAAGTGGACCTTTCAGGGCCATCAGTGACCATTTATGGTACAAATGCATGCAAGAAACTACGCCAGACCATTTCGCGGAAAGGTTCCACCGGGTGGACACCTGCCATGAGCAATTTCCTCGCTGATGATAGCATTTGTTGCTTGTTTAGCACTCCCGATAAAAATAGTACCTAGTGTTAGTTGCATGGGCGGAAGTACGAGCAGATCGAAACTATCTCACCAAAAACAAGATATTTGAAAACCGTCATTGAGATGAACATTATTATTAATGGAATTTTGGCGTAACATAAATACAACGTAAACTTAAACCTTTCTGTTTACCATTACATATCCTGTCGAAACATAAACAAGGAGTTGTAGGCACTTCATTATAAGATACGTATACGTGTATATGTATACATATGTGTGAATGTATGTATAGTTGGGCCGTCCAAAATTGGCTTGGTCCACAATAAAATTGTCGCATTTACTTTCTACTTTCAACTTACTAAGAAGACTAGAGCTGTTGATGACAGAACGTCTAATTTTATTCACTACAGACGTTGTAAGGAGGGAATATCGTAAACATACAAAAGAGATGTCAGATAGGAATTGCAGCGGGCACTAATAAAGAAAAAGGAATAACATTACACCGATTGATATGTAACAGAAAGAGATACAGACAACCAGAGTTTGAACATGTTGCCAGCAAGGGACTTTCATTCTTAAGAATTGAGGAAAACAAACCCCAGCAACCCCTAACCGCTAGACCGCTTACTATTATTCGGTTATCTCTTTTCACTTTGTTTATACTACTCATGAAGCATTTACTAACTTAACAAGGGCATGTTCAAAACGCAGTAAAAGACTACAGGGTAAAGGTCTAGGTGATAGGGGGATCGAAAGAGGAGGTCTCCCCCACCACTGTATCATAAAAAGTTCGTGGCGGTCTCACCCCCATAAAAAGTTATGGGGGTTCAAAGTTAATAAATATGCCAATTCTTATACATTTCTAGGCATGTAAATATTTATATAGTCATTCTTAAACAATATTCAAAGGTAAAACTAATACATAAAAATATTGAGAAAGTTATATAAGACATTATTTAAATATCTTTATCAATAGGGTAGGTTAGGTTAGGTTAGGTTAGGTTATCGGGTTTTGTTCAAGTGACCACCCTCTTTCGATCCCCCACCTCCACCCGCTTGAAAATA